CAATTCGTGTTCCACTTCTTGTTGTTGAAAGCTCAGACTCCTTGCACTGCAAACCAATGTATTGTCTTTAAGGACAACAATCTAATTGTATTTGAATTTACTACCAAAATCTATTGCTTGCAATTCAAATGTAAACGTCTTTCATTTAATTTTTTTTTTGTTAGTTCAAGAAATCCCAATTAGTCAAATGCGATACCCCCTGAGTGAGGAGGCCAATATGATGCAACAGCCACACCTTCCCGACACTCTTGCTGGAAGCAGTCAGGAGCGTTGTCTACCAGGCAGTAGTGGTATGGGTATCGGCTCGACTATCCCACGACCCCAGCTACCTTCCAATTTCAACTCCTCGCAATTCAACCTACTTTCCAGTGAACCATATCCAAGTCCCAGCCAAACTCACCACCCCTTTAATCCAAGCCAATCACCCTCGCACGAGACGTCTTCTCCACGCCATCGACTATACACTCACGTAGACGGCGGAGGGGGCGAATGTACCGGTAGCATTGCTGGGGGAGGACTTCTTGTTGTCAACATAATTGCTGGCAGTGGTCTCAAAACCACTCAAATGCTTCTGCGTGACCTATACTGTGTTATAGAGACTGATTCGGTGCGCAAAGCACGATCGATGATTCGTACGAGTACGGACTACTTTGAATGGGATGAAGTCTTTGAAATGGAAATTGAAGAATCACGTTTCCTCTCCATTCTCATCTACCAATGGGACGCGCGGACCCGTCACAGATTGTGCTTTTACGGTGGTATTGATCTAACCTCCCTAACACAGCAGAACCTCTCCACATCACCTAGTCGAGAACAGAAGGAAACCGAGGGACCAGAGGACGAATGTCAACCGCTAACGAGTCCTTTGATTGCGCGATCAGGAATGCGGTTTGAGAAGATCGCCCTTCAGTTGGAACCAAGAGGAGTTCTCTACTTACAAATGGGCTTCCTCCCAATGATTGCACTATATATGCGACGAAATCTGTCAGCTGCCTACGACACAACCCTCTTTGGAGTGAGTCTGGACGAGCTTGTGTACAGAGACCGCATGCTCGCCAGTCTTGGTGTCATTTCTGATTCAGTAGTTCCCTTACTGATAAGAAAGTGTGTCGAAGAGGTGGATAGACGAGGTACCGAGGTGGTCGGAATCTACCGGCTCTCGGGATCAGTATGGATGAAACTGCAGGTTCGCGATCTCTTCACTCGCACCGCGGAGAAAATTGCTCAAGGGCTAGTAAAACGGAGCGAGAAGGCGGTGAGGGGAGCTCTTGCTGCCTTGGATCTCTCAGCTGACGCTGTTCCTGACATACATGCAATAACTGGTGAGTTACATCTGCAGCAACTTTAATAAGTTTTTCCGTGTTTGCTTGTGCCTGAACTAGTCCTACGGTTTGG